CCCAACACATGGCTTGAACTCACAACCCCAAGAGCAAGATTCAAGCTGAGATCAAGAGTTGGAGGCTTAGCTGATTGAGCCACCCAGGCACCCCAGGATGAAACTTTTAATAAATTCCTTTAGCTTTAACAGTATTTCTTATATTACTCCTTAGATACTGCTGCTCTTCCATTTTCTCTGGTGTGTTTCTAAGACCACCATTTGTTAAATTGTTATACCTTCTGGACCAATACTATACTTTGCTGTCCATCTCTGTTGTTTTACTTTATAGATTTCTTCAATTATATCTTTCAATTCTTCTATTTTTCATTTCTGCTACCTTATTTCCAAGAGCTCCTGTCTTTACTCTTACAGCATCCTACTTATATCTCATTGATGCAACAGCTCTCTAACATAAGGGCATTTTTGCTTTTGCTGAAGTTCTCTTCTGCTTTCTTCAAGGTTTCTGCTAACACTTTGTTCTTTTTGTTCTGACCTCTGTCTCAATTTGGAAGCTTTTTTCAAAAGTCCAGTGAGCCTTAGATGGGTTTTCATATCTAAGAATGAAGCACTCAACTACTGTGTGGAAGCTCTGTTGCAAAAGCAGGACTGCTGACTATGGTCTTCTCTGTGGAAAAACTGGAAGGCAAACTGGTTTTGTCACCATGTAACTCCTGAGCATAAACTTCTTCATGGAACTCCACCATATCAGTCTCCACCAGTCTATATACCCTTGGGCTGTTCGCTATTTCTAAAGTTTCAATTTTTTATCTTGTATCTGCCTGGCGTGAACTAGAGCAGAGGAAGGGGAAAGATTTTGCCATTTACTTTGTAAGTTTTCACATAAATTCAGATTTTAACCTTGTGCTTTACCCCACACCTCCACTCTCCTTCTTTGTAGCTATTTCCAGATTTGAAATCTCTCTAGTTCAATTTCTTTAGAAAATAAATCTCAAGGTCTCTTGTGTTTGGTTGCTATGGGCGGGGTTGGGGGGAGGAGGAGCAGTGGTAGAGAAGGGAATTAAAGGGGCAGGTTAGGATTTGCCACCTTGCACACGTGATACTGATGGAGGGACAGACAGGCTATTGAAACAAAATGGAAAAAGTACTGACCCATACATACTGGGGAACTTTAAAAAAAAGCACAAAACAAAGGAGAATATGGATTGTTAAATAGAGGGTATTCAGAAAACCAGCTCACTATACGGGGAAAACAAAATCTCATTCCTTTCTGACACCACCTATAAAGGTGAATTCCAGAGTGGAGGAAGGGGTTGATCCAGTCAGTATTCAGACTTATCAAATCTCTCTTTTCAGTTATTTTGCTACACTTATTCCTTCTTTCCAGTGTACTAAGTACTGTGAACTGCCTCTCATCCTCAGTGGCTCCCTCTATAGGCTCTAGAGTTCTCCTCTGTGTTAAGCCAGTGATAAGTCCTTATCTACTTTCTGGCTTCTAAAAATTTCAGTATTTCTCCACTGTTGTTTTCTTCTTGGATATATTTGTCCTTAAGGGTTTATATTTACTTTAGTTCTTTACTATACCATTAGGGCTTTGGAGGAGCCAGAAATAAACTTATATTTAATCTGGTATGTAGGAAATCAAATGAAATTAAAGCTTATCCTAAAATGCCAGAAGTTGAGGCCTCTCCATTACCTATTGATTGACCTCCCTAATGTGACTGCCTACTTGTCTGAATAAAACGAATTCTCAGTGTAGGTCAGGAATCTGTCCTTTGATCCAAACCATTTTGGCTGTCTGCCTATTATCACTTCTTTTTACAATGCTCTTGAAACTATTAAATCACCTCTCTGTCTTGAAGGACATATTTAGTCTCAAGGTCCCCAGCCTCCCTTGACAGAATTTGTTTCCTTCTAAAACTGGGCTTTAACTTTGGAAGTTAAATCTGTTTAGGGATAAAAAGTAACCATCATTAATTCAGAATCATTTACTGAATGCCCACTATTCAGCATAGGGGACACAAAGATGAGAACAATAAGGTCCCAGCTTCACACTGCCCAACAGGCTAGTCTCACAGCATCTCTAAACTGGAAGTTAAGCCCTTGTCTGCATCATAGAACACAGATGATTTTAGTGATTATTTTCTTAATTCTCTCCAAAATGGTACATAACTATCACCATGCTGGATGCATCAGAGAGATGCTAATTCATTATATATAATAGATGTCTCAGAGTACTACAGGCTTAATCTACTTGTAGAACTCCTGCTGAGAAAAACCAAATAGCCAGATATTTACAATAGTTTGATAAGTGGCATGTACCATCTCACTAGTGATAAAATTATAAGAAAGTTTTAAAATTAGTAATAACAGTAAAAATCTGTGAAATATGCTGAGTATTAAGTTTAATCAATAGAATTATAAAACTGAAATGTGTTCTGAAGACTATCATTTAGCAGCTAATATTTATTGAATGCTAACTTTGCATCAGGTGCCAGTCAGATCACTTAACATACATCATTTCCTTTAATTCTCACAATCCTACTTCAAGGGTTACTATTCTTATTTTATAGACAAGAAAACAGAAGCTTAGAAAGGGTGACTTGCTCTGAGGTCAAGCACATTAAAAGTTGGTAGTGAAGGATTCAAATCCAGTTTGTCTGGTTTCAGAGCCTGAGCTGAGCTTCTAAACTTCATAGTATAAAATTCCTCTCCAAGTGACCGAATATTCTTCTTCCCAGAGAAATGGGGTAAAAATTATGCTGCAGGTATGGTCTGTTATAAACACTAATATGAACAGTATTATGGTCATGGGGGGAAACATAAGGCCTACATAAGGCCTACAATCAAAAATCAAAACACCAAATAACCTAAACTCTGTATTTTGAATAATGAAACAGAGAACCATGTGTATATTAAGGGAATATACATACAGTTTTTACAGTAACCAAAACTACGGTAATACAAGGAGTGTTGTTTTATATCTTTAAATGTACTCAAAAAATATAATTTCTAGCTAAATCATAAAAAAATATTTAAACTCATGTAACATAAAAAGAATTCTAGATCAAGTATTACCTAAGATACAAGAGCAGGCTCACAATTTTACTTTTCATTTAAAACTTAAAACAACAAACTCCCAAAGAAGTGTATTAAGGGATGTTTTCCTGTTTTTTAAAAACAGGAAAAGTGTATACAATACACTTTGGTTTCTTATTATTTAAACATGTCAAAAAACAAAGCCAATTTGAGAAAATAGATGTTATTACACCTTTTAGGCAACGTCGCAACCTTCAAATTTTCTGATGAATTTGGTTTCACAGAAATAAAATAGTGGTAGGTCAAGCTGCTAGGTTATTTTGGTAACATTATTTTCCTATAGTCTGACATCAAAATAGACTACTATCATCAATGTAATGATTCTTGTTTTAAATAAAAATATTTTAACAACACTTTGATTGTGGTAACAAAACTAAATTAGTACTATCACTAGAAATATCATGGTAAAATAATTTTTTTAAGATTTTAAAAATTTATTTATTCATGAGAGACACACACAGAGAGAGAGAGAGAGAGAGAGAGAGAGAGAGAGGCAGAGACACAGGCAGAGGGAGAAGCAGGCTCCATGCAGGGAGCCCTACGTGGGACTCGATCCCAGGTCCCCAGGATGAGGCCCCGCACTGAAGGTGGCACTAAACCGCTGAGCCACCCGGGCTGCCCCTAAAATAAGATTTTAAAAGATCCTTTATGTAACAGAAATCTCAACCTTTTCTACTCAGGTTTATCAATACCTTCTGTATAATTCCTCTCATGAAATTAATTACTGCAATTTAGCTGGGGCTTTTATTTCTCAAAGTCCTATTAATTTGTTGGTTGAGCCATACAACACACATTTTTATTTTCAAGTTAGAAAAATGTAGCTTTCATGATTCCTTATTTCATTAAATTCCTGTCTTTTGCCATAGACATTAACATTTTCTTTTAATTATATTTATTTTTTTAAAAGATTTATTTATTCATGAGAGACATAGGCAGAGGGAGAAGCAGGCTCCCCATAGGGAGCCCGACAGTGAGACTTGATCCCGAATCCCGGGATCACACCTTGAACCGAAGGTAGATGCTCAACTACTGAGCCACCCAGGCATCCCAACATTTTCTTTTAATTGGCAACTTCTAATGTTCTTTTAGGAAATACTCATTGTTAAATTTCTTAAGTAATTTCATGTCATATAGCTTGTTTTCTTTTAACATATGGCCACAGAAAGCAAAGAATGCATTCTTTCAAGACCACAAATTCCCTTTGCTCTGTGTGGAAGGTCTCTTTCCAGCTCTGATAAGTTAAGATTCTAATGTTTACCAATAGATACATAATTCTTTTAATGTTATCTTCATGTATTTATTTGCCTATAGCCCCAGAAATGTGCTTTCATAACCTAAAGTTTTAGTTTAGATTAAACAAAGAAGGCTCGAGTCTAGCACTGACCTTGCCTTACCCACTGGAGGCTGTTGCTTAATGTACAAATTAAGCTTGAAAAGAAGATACATAATGCCTAAAAATTTAAATCAGAAACTGCCTAATTCTTTGGTTCAAATAAACTTGTATCCAAATGTGACTATTTTCATTTTTGGAAGGAATTTTCATTCTCTTTCTGAACATTTAAACATCAGTAAGTTACAGAGTATAAAAATGACAACCCAAGTTATCTCAGGAGTCATAAATCAAGAATAACCATGAAATCTGGGAAACGAGGCTAGTTCAAAGCTTGAGTGCAGACAGTGCAGGTGGTAGTTAGATATCCCAACTGTCTTACATTAGAGAATTAAGAGTCTCTCATCTCATCTATTGCTCTTAGCAGTTTTGAATGCTTAGTTTTAGTACTAAATGAACACACATATTAATACTGACTTTCAATTGTTTCTCAGATTTCATAACTACAGATTCAAAATAACACCCTGGCACATCCCAAACAGCCAAATCATGGAACCTACTGGCTGTGTTTTGAATTTGGAAAACAATTATGTAATTCTAGAAATCAAAATTAAAAGCCAGAATTTCATACCTTGTGCAAGCATGTTAAATTCCAAGAACAGTGCTATGTGGTAAAGTTCCATGGCTTCTTCTGCCCTGGTCATGTTTGGCTTCCCTGCGACGAGAGCCTGAACCTCACTGAGACTCCCCACAGAGGGGCTACAGTGCAAGACGGAAAGGTCCACCATATCAGTATACATACAGTGTAATATAACTTTCGCATATTTTTTTGGTATAATAGACTCATCTAATATAATTCTTGTGGGAGTCCTCAAAGTTCGGTCTGTGATTTCTTCACCAGTCCGTATCCTCCTTTGTAATAAATTCCGAAAAAATGGGGACCGTGCTGAAATAATAGCCTTGTGAGCTTTGAGCTCTTCATCTAAACAGTTCTGATTTCCACCAAAAGCTTCAACCAGTTCAGAGTCTGAAGAAAAACTAAGGACAACATCATAATAACACATGTAATCAAAAAGTCCACGCATATCTACATCAAGGGAATTTGGTGTTCCAAATTCTTCACTAAGCTGAACGAGGATATCAACATTTTGAAACCTTGAGTCCTCCATTCCGAAATCTCCTGTATAAAGGTAGTGTAGCAAAGCAGAAAACATGGGCATGTCTATACCAGCTGTATTGATGTCCATAATGATCTCTGCCCCATACTCCGGTGAGGAAGAAAGCAGTGTTTTAAAAAACGGACACCTTGCCGCCAAAATGGCACGATGAACAGGAAAACAAGTTTCTTGAAATATTAAGTCTACATCAGTACAATACTTGTACTCATAAAGATCGGCCATATCTTTCTGCAATGTCCGAGCTTCTGGTCTAGCCAAACTGGCTTGTAGAGAAAGCTCCTTTAAGGCTGAAGTTCCCTCATATTCCTCCACTAAAGCATTAACATCTCTAACATCCCACCCAGAGAGGAGTTCTCGCATCTGCTTGGCATGATCGGCAGACCTATTAGATTTTCGACGCTTGATAAACTTCTTTTTGAGGGTGGCAAGGCCAGAGGTTCTCTTTTTTTTGTCTTGTGGTTTCTCATGGCCATGGTCAAGGCTATATAATTTTGATTCACAACCATAGCCTTGCTGAGAGTAGGATGATGTCCCTAAGAAGGAAATCAAACAAATGAAAATGTTTGTACTCAACATTTATTTTCAACGTCACTTTAACACATATTTCATGCTAAAATTTTTATAAACAGACATTCCTGAACCATTCAAATAAAACTGACTTTTATTTCTATAAAATTTCAAATAACTCCCTTCTATATTAAATAAGAAATAGAGACTGACAGTTTATTCTTTAGTTGACAAAATGCTTTTGGTTCTCTGGCTATCGAAAACCAGATACTAACAGATTTTAATCATGGATCTTTAGGAAATGAGAGTTAAACAGATCTGTAAATTAAGAATACTATTTGTATATAATTGTGACTTTTTTTTTTTAAAACTAGCAGTGGTTTGTACTAGAGAAAATAAATGGACCAGGACATAAGGATGTCCTGTTTTCACTATTTTTACACCAATGGAGATTGCCAGTTTTCCGAGGGCAATGGCAATAATGGTTAAGACACCGAAGAAAAGATCAATGGTGCTATAGCAGCTTGGTCAGAATAAAAATCATACAAGCCAGATTTACATTTGTTTCGGAAAAAATCTGGATGTTGCAGAATTATTATCTATAATAACTTTTTCACAGTTTCATCCAGAAAGGCCACTGAAAACATATTCTATTTATAATATTCACAAAAGCAAGTGAAATTAGAAAAACGGAAACAGTTACCTATAAAAGTCTGTTGGGCTTGAGAATTTCCCCCTACCCTCGGGGAACATGAATGAGGATAGTTAGATGCATTAGCACCCATTTTCTTCAGTCACTCAGGCATTCCATCTGCTGGTTCTTCAGAGTGTAATCCCAGAGGCCTTTACGAACTTTCAACCCTGGATCCAGCAGCCTCTTTTCATCCATTTCTTGATATGAAACAAAAATAATTTTATTCATTTTTTCAAATGTATTTCAAATTACACAGTTAAAAAAAAAAGCAGGCTACTGAAAACTGCTTTTATTTGCAAATGACAGGCTGTCAAATTCACATGTAAAAATTTCAGAAAATGTAAACAAATAGTTAAGCTTGAATTATGAATCAGTGTTAGCTGCAATTTTGAACCATAAAATGTACCAATTACATACTTTCTAAGGCAGTGAAAAGTAACAAATCAGACTAATTTAAATATATAATTATGGAAAGATATTTCAAATTACAGGGAAAAGTATTTAGAGGACTAAAAAATTTTTCAATTTTTTTTCTTACTTCTTAGAGGCAACTGCCAGTCATTATAATCTAACATTCTAAGCAATTTATATATATTAAAGAGGTTGATATTAGAGGTTATCCTCTTCATGAACCCCTAAAATTAAAATACTGCTTTCTATTACCTGATATTAGACTTAACACAGACAAGGCAGTACCAGTAAGAGACAATTTGAACAATTATAGAGTAAATTCCATACCATGGAACCTTAACTATCAGAACTACCAGCAAAAGATATATGCACAAAAACAAAACACTCTAAGATTAGAGAACAGGGTTAATAAGAATACTGTATTGGTATAGCATCAGGATATATAAAGTTTATCTGACTAAAAGGGATAATGGTTTTAAGAGAAAACACAATTTAAAATCTATTATTGGAATTATTATGAAACCAATCAGGACATAATCTAGTCTCAAAATGAAGGATGAAATGATTTAACAAATAGAGTTAAACACACACAAGCAAAATCACAAAAAATCTGCTAGAAAACAGAAGTGTGTCAAGATTCTTGAAATTTTTTATCTCTGTTACCGATATAGCATAACCATAGGAATTCAAGTTTAAGAAAATCACTGTTGGGATCCCTGGGTGGCGCAGCGGTTTGGCGCCTGCCTTTGGCCCAGGGCGCGATCCTGGAGACCCGGGATCGAATCCCACGTCGGGCTCCCGGTGCATGGAGCCTGCTTCTCCCTCTGCCTGTGTCTCTGCCTCTCTTTCTCTCATTCTATGTGACTATCATAAATAAATAAAAAATTAAAAAAAAAAAAAAAAAGAAAATCACTGTTAACATCTGCGCTTCCTTCAACTTTTTCCACTATAAATATGAAAATTTAAGCATAGAATGATCTACCTATAGTGTTCAAGACTGGGTACCTTCTACAAAGTGAGTATTGTGCAAAGTGGAGGTAAATGTATGATCCAATCAAATCATACACTCACACAAACAAATTTCCTAGTTGAAATTCACCTACCTACCAAGGAAAACACAGCATGTCATTCAACTTTTTACTCTGGGTGCCTGCTACTGAAGTCAGAAAGGCTATGAGTAGACAGAGATGTGATAGTGCATTCTATAAGAAATAACCAGTGAGGAACCCAAAGAGTTTAATGTATTATTTTTGTAAACATTAAATTGTCAAAATTATTTCTTCCACCAAAGTCAGTTTTTTTTTTAAAAGTCTGATGCTTAGTGTAAGTAAATACAGTTTTCTATTCTTAAATATTAGAAATGTAAAAAAAAAAAGCTGCTTTTTGGGGTAATTTTGAACACTGTCAACTTAAAAAAAATTTATCATTATAGTTAATATTGTCAATTCTTATAAAACAGAAATTAAATCTGCCTGTGTTAATTTCAGTTCAAACTTAAACAGTAAGTCTAATAAATCTTAGTTTTCAAATTGAGCTTCTTAAAAGTTTTAAGGTTCTATCAGGTACGTTTAGTAGTTCTTTAGAAGAAACTGGGGTCCTGGAAGCCAAGTTTGTGGCTTCATTTACAAGTCAAATCCTTTTATCACTGAAAATTTGTAGTTAAAACAAAAACAGCACAGAGAATTCTTTCTCAAATTTATTTGAGATTAAGAAAATATATTAAGAAAATATTTTAAGAAATTAAGAAAAATACAGAACAAAAAATTATGTAAAACAAAAGCCTTTTACTAAAATGAGAGAAAAAAGGATTAAAAAGATGAGCTTTGAACCTGGGTAAAAAGTGCTGGTAAAGTGTCCCTCCTATGGTAGGTCTCTTTTCATTTCCTTCTTTACTCCTTCTTAAAGTTACATATTTATTTTGTTTGTTTTTTAATTCTTTTGGGTGGGGGGGTGCAAACAGGGGGGAAGGAGAAAGAATCTCTAACAGATTCCGCACTGAGTGTGGAGCCTGACTTTGGGCTCCATCTCCCAACTCAGATCATGGCCTGAACTGAAATCGAGTAGGACATTTAACAAACTGAGCCAACCAGGTGGTTTGCTTTTTAATTTTTAAAGACTACAGAGTAAACTCACTAACATCGCACAAAATATGTGGCTGAAACAAACAAATATGGCGCCACGCTTCCAGATTAAGAATAATCAGTGTCTACAGTAATGGACAGAGTTCCTACTCTCACTTTGTCACATTGTGACAAAGTGTGCACATACATCTAGAATTATTTTCATCTGAGAATTCTGCAAGGTTTATAGGGACACAAAATGGTTACCCTGGTCTGTCTGAAATTTAAACCATGTCAAAAACACTTTTCTTTTTGCTTTCTTCTTTTTTAAAAAAGCTCAATTTTATAAGTATAAATTCTAAAGCAACCATACAAAACATCATCAACCCCACTGGAGACATAAGACCATATAGCAAGCATTAGGGAAGTCACGAGCTGAGATAAGGATGTTTGGCTAACTGCCACTGTCATTAGCACCACAGGGACAGCTGGGGTCTCACTCTGGCGAGGTGACTTGAAACAAAAATGTTCTGAGGACTTTGGGACAGAGTCTCTTCCTAGCAGCTCCTAGTCATTGGGAATTCCCTTCAAGATGAACTGTTTTGGACAACATGCATATTTCCTACTGGAGCTCTTATACTAAAATAAACATACGTCTTGGAAAGACTTAGTGGGAGAGATTTCTTAGGATTAGATATAACTCTTAAATCCACCTTGTGTCCCTAGTTTCAAATCCTGGAAGTAATCCTGACTGTACAGTTATACTACTAAAACCGTATTTCTCAAAATTCTCAGGGAACAATTTTATTTATTAAGTAACCAAACCCCTATACCATATGGAACATAGTGTTAAGCTATTTAGTTCTTAATCTAACCCACTGCCTTTAGATGCTGGAAATAAGTCACAGCTAAATCTCTCCAAGGATGTTTTCATTCTAGGCAAGCAACTTCGGTTTCTTATATAAATCAGGATGAAATCCAATCTTTGGATGATATGGCAGGGAAAGAAAGGAAAAGAGAGGGCTCAGGATGCAAATGGCCCTAGAAAGCTGATAAATGGTGATTTAGAATCACCATTCTATGAGAGATCCCTCTGTTAATATGACCAATCTCAATCAAATGATCTAACTGGCTTAAAACAAGTTTCAGTGATTATAGCAGATTCCCCCCCCCAAGTGATGGGCTGGGGGAGAAATGATACCAAAGGCAACAGAATTAACAATCCCATGGAAATATTTTTAGAAAAAAACAAAACAAAACAAAACATCAACCTCTCTGCCTTTCAAAAAACCCTTAGACCAACATTTCCAAAGTTTACCCAAGGTCCGGAAAATGCAGGATTAAACAAAAACTGATAGGTCTCTTTACTCCAGAATGTTTTAGCATCTTTAAAGTGCTAAGGTGTATTGTGAACCTCCAAGAGGAAGTATTTGGCATCATCTAAGGGAGGCCCTTTGCCCCACAGAGCATTAAAGGAATGTGCTTATATGATACACTTTGGAAAACCTTAATCTTTGCCATAAAAACACTTTTTATTGTTTTACTCAGTAGAGAGAACAATCGACATCAAGCGTCCTGGGATAGTGTAATCTTGTCACTAATGTATCACGTACATGGGATAAGTCACATTTAACTTCTATGAATCCTAAAACTGAGATGTATGGGTCTCAGCATCTGTAAAATAAAAAGTTGACATAGAGTTCCTAAAATTCAATGAAGTTGTATGACTTACTGGTTTGGAAAATGAGGATGGGGAAGGGAGTAATTTTTATATTAAATGTTAGTGTATAGGGGGTGGGGAGGCAATTGGATTTTGCGTTTTAAACACGTTTTCTTCCTAGACTGATTATTAACTATGGTTAATAGAAAGATAGGAATGTGGGGCACATATGAATATAAAAAACAATTCATAATGAAAGAGAAATACAAACCTATGGTAAACCTTCAGTCCTATTAAATCTAAGGTCATCATATAACATACCATCACACCAGGATGCTTGAGAGTGAAAAGGGGGTACAAATCAGACAAGATGCCAGAACATGTATAGCCTGGGTCTAGTGGGGCCAAGTGGTTTGAATGGACACCCCTACAGACAAGTCTCACACTTCCAGAGCTAGAAATAAGGCAAAGTTTAAAAAGAAAAAAATTCCTAAAACCTACGTTAGAAGTGTAAGACTTTTTATGTCCACCTCATTCCCCAAGCATGTTTTACCCAATATAACAACTCATATTTATTGAAGTTTTATTCTTTAAAAAAATATATATTTTTTGTTTATTCATGAGACACAGAGAGAGAGAGGCAGAGACACAGGCAGAGGGAGAAGCAGGCTCCATGCAGGGAGCCCCATGTGGGACTTGACCCCGGGACTCCAGGATTACTCCCTGGGCCAAAGGTAGGTGCTAAACTATTGAGCCACCCAGGGATCCCCTTATTGAGGTTTTAATACATGCCAGACTCTGTTCTTAGAGCTTCACATATATACTAACATCTCCCAGTAACTTTTACTGATGAGGCTGAGAAGTTAGTAACTTGCCCAAGGTCTCAGAGATACTAAGTGAAAGAGCCAGGATTACTTTGTAAATCTTCAATTGTATCCTTGGATACATTTTAAGAACAAAACAAAAGGCAACTGTGAACAGTTAAGTGAGAAGCAGAGTCAGCAATAGACCCTTGCTGTTTGAAGATCTCTTCAAAAGGTGAGACCAGATTGGAAGGGAGTTCAGA